TGGTTCTACATATAAAACTGAAGAAAATAAGACCCTGATTGTAGCTGTAGTAAAATTAATGTAAAAAAATTAATATGGTTGTTTGAAGTACCTGTAATGTTATTTAATGTTAATAAATGGAACAATATAAGTAGCTAACCATTAATGGTAAAAAAAAAAGTGAGACTGCGCGTATGTAAGTGCGCACATGTGAAAACATATCGTCATTACTCTACATAAGAATATGAAAGCAACACTTATTTACTGCTCATATATATTGAAGGGTTAAATGTTGTACTCTGTATAGACAAGCAGAGAGAGAGAGAGAGAGCAGCCGAACTGCCGGATGTAAACAAACCTTAATTTCCCGCGGCTGTTTTTTTTTTTTAAGGGGATTAGCCCACCCGGGCATAGGTCACTGACCCACATTGGGGCCTGAGGGGCAAAAATTAATACTCCTGTAATAATAATTCAGATAAGTAAAAAAAAAAAAAAAAAAAAAAAAAAAAAAAAAAAAAAAAAAAAAAAAACTGCCTATCTACCTATTGGACAAACTCAAATCGTTCCGGACCACGGGAGTTTCTGGACCACAGAATGCCGGACTAGAGAGGTACAACCCGTATTTGCTATAATTGATTCAAGAAATTTCCCCACTACTGATGTCAAACTAATCGGCCGGTAATTTGACGCTGATGTTCTGTCTCCCTTTTTGAATATGGTTACTACATTTGCCTGTTTCCACAAGTCTGGCACAACTCCTGTGTCTAATGATTTTGTAAATAAATTTACGAGGGGTCCATTAATCTGTACCTTACACTCTCATATCTCGAGGGAAAATTTCATCCGGCCCTGGGGATTTTGTCTTCTTTAATTTATTTATCTTCTTAAGAACATCCTCTTTTCTGATAGTGAAATTCTTTAATTTCTCTTCTTCATTTCCCCTAAATATCAGTTCCACCTCTGGAATTTCCTCGTGAATTTCTTCTGTGAAAACTGATAAGAAGTAGCTGTTTAATGCTTTTCTTATTTCTTCACTGTCATTGATCACTTCCCCTCTCTCTGACTTTAAAGGCCCCACTTTGTCCTTGAACTTTGTCCTATATACCTGGAAAAATCCCTTGGGATTCGCCTTGGATTCTCTAGCTATCCTGATTTCGTGGTCCCTTATTGCCTTCCTTGCATTTTTCTTAACATTCCTAGATACCCTGTAGTTTATTATACCTATTTCTGAGCTGCTCCTCCCCTCCCTTTAATTTCTTATAAATTCCTTTCTTTATTCTTATGTCATGTTTAAGTTTTCTGGTCATCCACCTTGGCTCATTCTTGTTTGACCTAATTTTTCTGTATGGTATATTTTGTTCCTGTGCTTTACGTAGTTTACTAGTGAATATATTATAGTCATGATTAATTGTTGTGTCATCTGTGACCTCACCAGTTCCTACCGAGGACTGACCTGACTGTTCCCAGGCGACCTCACCTAGGTACCTTCTTAACCCCTCATAATCTTCCGATCGAAAGTCTGGGACTCTGACCATATTGTCATTGTTTTTCATTTCCCAATTTAGGGAGAACCTGATTTCTTTGTGATCACTGCTCCCTAGTTATTCCCCTACTGTGATATCTCTGATAATATTTTCTTTATTTGTTATTACTAGGTCTAATATATTGTCACCTCGATTAGCTTCTGTAATTAGTTGTTTTAAAATTTTTTCCTGCACTGCATCGAGGAAGTCTTCTGATTCATAGTCACCTATAATGTCCCAGTCAATATTTCTGAAGTTGAAATCCCCCATAATGCACAGGTTGTTGTATTTTGCTGCCTTACTCATTTCCTGCCATATGGGCTGAGCTGCTCCTTTCCTGTAAATCACTCCTGTAATTAGTTTTTCTCTTCCTTCCGCAATTTCTACCCATACAGACTCGGTTCTTATTTCACCTTTTATTGAATTATTTATACAGTACAACATTTTAATGTATCCCTGACAAAGAGTGCAACCCCTCCCCCCTTCCTACCTTCCCTGTCCTTGTGAAAAATGTTGTACCCTTCTATGTGGTACTCTGATAAAAAGTTCTTACGTACTCGCCAGATTCATCCAAGTTTCGGTGATTGTTATGACGTTTACATTCTCGGTACATACAACTGCTCTCAGTCTATTTTATTTCTAACGCTCCTACTGTTTGTTTCGTATACATTTAAACCTACCCTTCCCTGGTCCTGTTTTACCCCTTGTCCTGAGTAACCAATTTTACTCCCCAGAACCTGCTTGTTTTTTAAATCCCACTTACCCTGACCTCTCTTTAATGGCAACCTCCCCCTTGGAGTGACAATTTACCCCTGCGCGAGACAGGTGTACTCCATCACGACTGTACAGGTAGTCGTTGCCATAGAATGGTTGCCAGTTATTAATGAATGCCCAACCATTGCTTGCACAATGTTTTTCCAGTCGGCAATTTATAGCAATTGCCCTGGACAGCCATTCACCACCAACTCCTCTTCTAGGCAAGACACCACATACTATCGGGATCCCTCCCCTATCCCTAACCTTCCATAGTGTCTCCCTATACCTCTTGAAAAGTTCCTCACTCCTAACCTTTCCTATTTCCTTACCTCCTACACTAGACACACTACTGACTTGGTACCCTCCCCTGACAAAACCCTATCTATCCTCACAGCAACATGCCCTATCCCAGCCCCAGGAAAACACAACCTAGTCCTAAGTTTCCTATCTCTTGCACAAAAAGTCCTATCTAAGACCCTCACCTGGCTGTCCCCAACTATCACAACCTTACCACTGGGCAGGGTTTGAAGAACTGCCCTTTTCTCTCTTGGCACCACACCGTCCTGCCTCTTCTCTTCCTCCAACACTTGGTAGGGGTTACTGCACTCCACACCCTGGTCAGCTTTCCTGAGTCTGACCCTAGTCCCCTTGGAGACAACCACTCTCCACCTCTGCTCCTCCTGACCTGCCTTCACAGGTGTCCTGCTAGGCAGGACACCTACCTGAAGGAGTTCAGTCCTGAGGGCTTCGTTCTCCCCCTTTCAAACGTCTATCTCTCTCCTCAACTGCTTCAGCTGACCTAACAGAGTAGCCAGGGGGTTGTCTTTCCTCATACACCGTCCCTCTTCCCCCACAACACAACGATCCATGGCAGCCATTTCCTATGGTCACTAACACGAACACTTAGTGGCACTTCCTTCTGCAAGCTAGGTCAGGTCGGTACTAAGATAGTGATTAATTTGAGTATAAACATCCCTTATTTTGCACCACACACACAGACAACCACACACACACACACACACACACACACACACACACACACACACACACACACACACACACACACATGTATACACACACACACACACACACACACACACACACACACACACACACACACACACACACACACACCCTCACATGCAAATACAGCCTGTACACACTCACATGGGAATTAGCCTTGGAGGGAGGGGGGGGGGCGGTTGTTGCAGTCACTTTTATCCCCAATAGACCCTTCTCCCTCTGGCTGGGGGAGGTGGGGAGATTAACAAGTACCCAGATTATGAAAGGCAGAGGGTTTTTATTTATTTTCTTGCTTATAAAATGTCACTGCATTCACTTAGGAGAATATAATTTGCATTGCTGGAATTCTTGTAAGATAGCAATTAATTTGAGTTAAAACATCATTTATTTTGCACCATACATAATAATTTTAGTAATTAACTTAGTATATTTGAGTACTTTTACTTTTATCCTCTTCACCACTGTTCGGCTAGTTAGCCGCTTGGGCTATCAGTTTCGTTTCTGTTACACACTGTTGGCAAGTACACGTTGTGATAATTTATGTGGTTGCAGTTTCGAAGCTTTGTGACATCACTAATATAAAATGAGTCTCCATATGCCCTGGTTTATTCATTGATCAGTTAAAAGACAATGGTTCAGAAGTGCTGTTAATGTGTGTGCTGTGTAAGTGTCTTGACATGTCACCTCACCACCTGACTCCTCAACAAACTCTTCATCAACTTCTTCAAATCCTACAATGTGCTTGGCAAGCTCAAAACACACTCACACAGGAATTAAGACAACATGCATCCAGTGAGGGTCTTGTTGTGTGACTGCATGGAGGCAAATTAAAAGATCAGCTGTTGAGGAGCTTATCGCTTGGCAACACAGAGGCATGTTACCACTCCATCTCTCTAATCACCCACACCTTTCTGCTGTCTCACTCCATCTTTTAAAATGTTATGTAATGTAATGTTGAAGGGATACAACTTTGCTCACTTATACTTATCACAATCTCCCTAAAAGTACTTAGGTTTTGAGTTTATTCAAGACATCTTCAGGTCATGAGATCCACTAATCCCCACCGAAGAAAGGGTGACCTGACATTCCATCAGGTCAGTATAATATGAGACCACTAACCCCTCACCCTACTTCCACCTGACATTGAGTCAGGTCAGCACCCCCCCAAAAAAAAATACTTTAGCTTTCGTCTTTATTCAAGACATTTTCAGAAAATTCTCTCGATTTTTAGCCTTGGAAAATTTGTTCCCAAAGCTGGATTTTTTTTTTAAATTCCGGCTATTGGAGATTTCCGGGTTTGAGGGATTCCGGCTTACAAGATATTTCTGTGGTAAAAAAAATTTTTGCAAGGGAGAAAGGAAAGGGAAAGATTACTTAACATACTACTTTGAGGAAAAAAACATTCAACATGTGTACCGGTAGTTACAATACAGATGGATTTTAATTTTATCTCATTGTCTATCACCACCTGGCCCAGAGTGAGTAAGATGTAGCCTGGTGTCCATTCTTCTCTCTTTGTATCTGCTAGGTGTACCAATGTAGATATGACTAAACATATGTTGTTAGTGTGGATATACAGGTATTAGAAAATTTGGATGACTATATATATAGTCATCCAAATTTTCACAGAATCTAAAGTGGAGTTGCAGTTTTAGTATGGAAAAAATAATAATAATATGGTTGAGACAAGTGTAATTAATTTCAACTATCATTGACCAGGTTCCTTCTTAAGTTTGGTGAGGTCGCTAACTACTTGGGTTACAATGCTATGGTGGACTTCTTCCCAACGATGACAGTCAGGCCAAACCCTCAGTGTGAAGACATATGGTGTCAGAAACAGCAGCGGGAGTATCGAGCAAAGAAAGCAGCTGAGCCTGAACCAGAGAAGGAAGAAGTAAAGGAGGAGGGAGTGGTGCATGAAGATAATGAATGGGGTGAGTATATGTATGGTGAACAGTAAATATAAAACTACAAAGAAAAGAGGATTAAAACTACATTTTTATTGAACAATTATTTAATGCAGTACAGTTTAGTAACTAATACGAGGTGACAAACAGTATAAGGAAGGTAGTTGGTCATTGAGACACTGGTTGAGGTAAGTTGCTGAAGCAAATGTATTGTTATAATTAATCACTTCCAATGATACAGCAGATAACTAAGGGATGATAGACAAAATAAAGAGTATTAAATGATAAAGAATGTTGGAATAGGTAGCTCTTGACTGTCGAGATGTGCACATTAGTACTGTGAGTTCTGCTATAACGCGTGTTTTGATAACGCGAATTGGCTCTAACGCGATTTATGAATAGAGGAACGATATTTGTATAACGCGAACGCTTGTTTGCTGTAACGCGATTTTTGCTTACTATTTCTCCAATTTTGTGGTATTAACTGTGAATATGGCAAAGAAGAATATCTCCAAGAAGCGTTCTGGTGATCGCATTCCCGGTGATGATCGTAAAAGAAAGGATATAACACTTGAAGAGAAGCTCAAAATCACCCTTCTCCCCCATCAAGTTATATTCATATTTTTTCAAGGTAAAGTGTTACATTTACTGTATGATTTCATTATTAGATATGAATGTAACATTTATTTAGACTGTGCTATCCTTTGTGTTAGGCTAACTACTAATTTTTTTTCGATTTCGAGTAGTACTCTGCACCTAACCCTATTTTCTCCATAAGTCCTGTTATTTCTATTACGCGATTTTCTATAACACGATATTTTACAAGAACACAACTATCGCGTTATAGCAGAACTGACTGTAATGGGACGTGCTTCTCTGTATAATATGAATAACTACCAGTCACATGTAATTTATTTTGAGCCACCTTGTGAATATGCAACATACTGTACTAGCCACCCGGGGAACACAGCTTATAACCAGAATTTTCTGTTACTTAGGAATAGTCTGTTTACCAGTTAGTAGGAATTTTAGAGGCTTTGCTGTTTGCATTATATACAGGTACTGTACAGGTACTTCATTTTGTTCAGGATCATAAGTGTTTGAATTAAAAGTAGGTAACCTCTGGAAAAAATAATTATGTTAGCTATAACTATAGACATGGGCAGTGGCACCTGTTGGTGCAAGAAGCTTTTGTGCATGATATCCTCTGCACATATAATACTTTACATTTACTTTGCACTTGAGCAGGGGTGTCAAACTCATGGCCCGTGGGCCAAATGTGGCCCTTGGGATGACTAAAATTTATCAGCCCCTGAAATTATGATTGAAATAGATATGAAGGAAACAATGCAGATGAATGAGTCGGTAAATTCCGAAATGATCTTTACTTCATTGTGGCAATAATTGAATTTATATTGTGAATGCTAGTAATAACACTATTGTAAAGGGAAAATGCTTATAAATCAAAATCACTAAAGAAATAAAAAATGAAGCCAGTTTCTTTATTAATCTCAGACAAACCCAAATGGGGTATTCTTGGTAAGCCAGGTAAGGCAATGTGTGAACCTGTAAACTTCAATCCTGCAAATATGTGATACTGTATAGCACTTGTGTTGGCCCTGAAGAGGGTAACTAAAATAAGAATTGGTCCTCGAAAGGTTTTGAGTTTGACACCGCTGCACTAGAGAGTCTTAATGCACAGGAATACAATGCAAACTGATTATGTCATCCAATAGTACTTGACTAATAGTGATTGACAAAATGCATGTCATATTACAGATATCTGTTTGGTTGCTGAAACAACACCAGAGGAAGCTGCAGGCAGTGTGTCTGCACCAATGACCAACTTGGCTAAAGGCATCACTGTGGCATATGAGAGACTTGCCCCAGTAGCTGAAGAGGCAGGTAGTAATACAGTGGACACTGAAGGCATAAGTCTGGATGATCTCATGGCACAAATGAAGGCTCTCTAAATTAATTAATAATTAGGTAATGGTTATAGCTTCACGTATATTAAAATAGGGTGACTGATGTTATGAAACATCTTTATTTTTTAGGGATAGAATAACAGTTCTCTACAAATTACACATCTTCGATTCATAATATTTCAAAGATTTGAATTGAGTGATTCTCTTTCTCTTGCAAGAGTTCTTTTAGGTGTTACATTTATTGGAAAATCTTGAAAGTACAGTGCGGTCTCATTTTGCGTGGGAATATCGTAATGGTACACGTCCATGCATCGGAAATCCGCGCAAGCCATGCCATTTAACACATGTTAAAATTGCTATATTGTACATGACTTGCCAGACCTTTACTCTAGAAAAATTTTGGTTAACAGGTGCAGACAGCAGACAATGTTTTCTCCTGATATTTCGTGATGGTTCTGATGGTGGATTTGTTGACTTTATAACGGTGTGCTACGTCGTGTATGCTCATCCCAGCTTTGAGTTTCTTCAAAATTTTGACCTTGGTGTCGTACAAAAAGGCCTGCCACTTCTCACTTATTTTGCCCTGAGGCCCATAAGTGTTCCCTTCTTGATCAGCCATAGTAACATCCAGATAGCAAGGTTAGATGCGGTGAGGTACACTGCAAGCGGGAGCTGTTCTCATACTAAAATTTGAGAAACCAAATTTATTATTATATTTTTTTAAATAAATATGGGGAATAACCCACCCAAGCAAAGGTCATCGACCCACAACTGGGTGGTGGGGTGGGGGATATTGCACTTAGTTTTATAATGTATCAGTACTGTAATGAATAAATAAAAAATGGGGAAATCAGCAATGGCCAGTCCTACCTCCACCCCCCTCCTTTGTAAAGGTCAGGGGAAAAGATTACCCTCTTTTATATTATATTATCAATAATAAAATATACGGTAGACCATAAGAGGCTGATCATATAAGAAAATAATAATAATGAATACTGTAAATAAAATCAAACTGACAAATCCTCACATCCAGAGTGAGGGTACATACTGCATCTCATGCTCATTCATGATACAATATTGTTTATTTGTTATTCTTTAATTTGTAAAGATATTTTACTGTAATAACCTGTGTTTATTAATCCTGTATCTGTACCCTTCACATACAATAATGTACAAAATATATCTCGAATATATCTCATAGGTAAAAGGTAACATAATCAGAAATGCATCTCCATACACTACAATATATGCAATGGTATAATGACCCCTTAGGGTGCTGTTTTGGTTAGTGCTCTATTATTCAGGATTGTATCAAGTGTTACTGTATTACTTACGTTAAGCACTTATAATGTCCAATAACTAAAATGAATAAAATCATTACATTGGGGCTAAACAAGCAAAAGATCACTAAATTCACGCTATACCGCTACCCGAGTAACCCCTGGCTTTTCGAGGAAACTATAACGATGGTAACATTTCAACCAACTGTGCCTGTGAGACCCGCATAAATTGAGACCCCACTGTACTTAAATAATACTTTATGGTTTGGACTATTAAAAAGCTTCTGAAATCAAAGCCCTTGCAAGGCCTTAAAATTTACAAAACACTTTGAAAACTATAAATTTGGCTGTGGGATTTAAAGCGTTCAACAGGAACCTGAAAATTTATACCTTCACAGGTGTTGTGATATATATATATGTCTCTTGAGAGGAAAAGGCTGAATGATAATATAATATATTTTAAATGATTGTGCAGTAAAACCACTCTAAGTTGGACTACATAGGCTTGAGGCTGCCAGACATCTAGAATTCCGACTTTTGTGTAACCTCCCCCTGTGCTTTTAACCATCGTTTTGCAGACATATCAATTCCAAAATCAAAATTGAAGTTAACAGTATACAGTACATTTACCTTTATTATAGCAGATGAATCTTCAGGTGGAGAATGATGGGGGCCTGCTTACACTTACAGTAAGTACATTCACACATATTTAATTACAGTATACTGTATTTATATTTATTGTAGTATCCACTTAAATCTAGTTACACTTCAGCTTAAACTCCTCACAGATAATGCTCACGGAGACCCCAGAATCAATTCTGTCACATCTTCATTTTCTCTTGAATTGGAAGATTTCTTGTGTTATTTTCTTGTTGCTTGCTTTAGAAGCTATAATAATTCAATAGGAAAGCACTTAATACAAACAAGTCAGTGAGTAACTGACGCTTCACCCTGCTGACGCCTCACGTGACTCCTTAAGCCAGAGTCTTATCTGACTTAGAAAGGTCTTACTGTATAAATTACTCCTTTTAAACTTCTGTAATAAAGCACGGTTAGTTATTCAGAGTAATTATTAAGGTTCTGGTTAAAAGAAGAGTATTAAAAACATGAACAATTCAAAAATTTCTAATACTGTATGTCATTCCAGCTGCTATGTTTTTTGTATATTTTTACAATACATTTTGTCTAATAATTTTTACATTTAAACTATGGTAATTGGTTAGAATAAGTTCAGAGGTAGTATCGTATATAAATACTATATACAGTATATATAGAACAGTACAATGTGGGGTATCAATAACCACAGAATTGACAAGTGACTCAATGTATGCCATTGTAACATTGAGTACTGTATTAATGTATCACTGTGATATTAGTAAAGACTTTGCATACCCACTGTAATTTATTTCTACCAATAGTTTTTCCATCAATAGGCGAGATTATTTATACCATTATTTATCTCATTACATGAAGTTTCTTGTGTTATAAAAATTAAATTAATGCAAAAGCCTTTACATCCATTCTTTTTTTCTTTTTTCATTAATTGCAAACAGTAATTTTACTATTGCTGCTCATTTTCCTTATACTATAACCAATCTTACTTTCCCTTCATTAATATCTCATAAGCATCCATTTTCATCATCCTTAACCATCTTGAATATAGTCATTTAATACCTTGAAGAATACCCCCTCCCTCCTTCCCTTTGCCCCTCCTTATCCCATCCATCCCTTTGCTCATGCCCCACCTAATCCCCTTCCCCTCCTCCACCCTAACCCCCTTCCTCCCTTACCCCCATGCCGCTCCTAATCCCCCCTCCCTTCCCCCTTGGTGCCCCACCTAACCCCCTCCCCTCTTCCCCCTATGCCCCCACCTAATCCCCACCCTCCCTCTCTTCCCTATGCCCCTCCCTAACCCCTCCCTCTCTTCCCCCCATGCCTCCTAACCCCTCTTCCCCATGCCCTGTAACCCTCTCCCTCCCCCATGCCCCTTGTAACCCCCCCCCTTCCCCCCATGCCCCTCCCAACCCCTTTCTCCTCCCACCTGACCCCCTCCCTCCCCCCATGCCCCTCCCCCTCTGCCCCCTCCCCTGCCCCTCCCCCCTAACCTCCCTCCCCTCCCCCATGCCCCTCCCTAACCCCTCCCTTCTCCCATAGCCTCCTAACCCCCCTGCTTCCCCATGCCACTTCTAACCCCCTTCCCTTCTCTAACCTCCCTCCTTCCATTCCCCTTGCCCCCTAACCCCTCCCCTGTTCTCCCTTGCTCCATGACTCTCCTAACCCCCTCCTTCCCCCCTATGCCCCACCTAACCTCTTCCCCATGCCCCTCAAACCCCCTCCCTCCCCTATGCTCCTTAACCCCTCTCCTTCCCTTCCCCCATGCCACCTCCTAACCCCCTCCCTCCCTACCCCTCCCTAACCATCTCCCTCCCTTTCCCATGCCCCTCCTAACCTTCCCCCTCCCTTTTCCATGCCCCACCTAACTCCCTCCTCCTTTCCCCATGCCCCTCCTAACCATCTCTCCCTCCCTTTCCCATGCCCCTCCTAACCATCTCCCTCCCTTTCCCATGCCCCTCCCTAACCATCTCCCTCCCTTTCCCATGCCCCTCCTAACCTTCCCCTCCCCTTTCCATGCCCCACCTAACTCCTCCCTCCTTTCCCCATACCTAACATCCTCCCTCCTTCACCCATGCCTCACCTAACCCCCTCCTCTCTTCCCCACCCACAACCCTCCCTCCCTTCCCTCATGCCCTTCTTAACCCCTCCTCCCCTATGCCTCTCCTAATCTCCTTCTCCCTCCTAACAACCTCCCAAACCCAACTCTCCTCCTTCCCCCATGCCTCCTAACTCCCTCCCTCCTTTTCCCCATGCCCCTTTAACCTCCCTCCCGAAGCCCCTCCTCCCCCCTCCCCACCTAACCCCTTCTCTCTTCCCCCATGCCCCGTGTAACCCCCTCCCTCCTGTAATGATTGTTTACCAGACCTTAGCTTACAGCCCAGAGAAGAACAACACATATAACAGCAAGTAGATGTCAACATGGTAACCCACATTGGTTGACACACCCTACAGTGACAGCAAGACCTGACGGCGACAAGGTACCTGAGTTAACCCCGAGTTAAGACCAGGTTAAAGAAACTCACCCGACCAAGACACACCCGGGTGGTAATAATTAGGAAGCATTATGGACCAGCGACATGACCACACCCTGGGCAAACACAGCTGTCGAGACCTGACCCATGCCCCTCCTAAACCTCCTCCCTCCCTCCCTTCCCCTTGCCCCTCCTAAATCTCCTCCTTCCCACCCTTCCTTCCCCCATGCCATTCCTAAACCTCCTCCTTCCCCCCCTTTGCCCCATGCTCCTCCTGACCCCCTTCCTTCCCTTCCCCATGCCCCTCCCTCTTCCCCCATGCCCCTCCTAACCCCCTTCCCTTCCCATTTCTCCCTATCCCTCACTTTTTCACCCACCTTTCCTTCCTTCTCATCCCCGCTTCTCTCTCTTCCTCGTTCTCTCCCTTCCTTCTCCTTGGAGCCACATTTTTCTGAACCATCTGTGATTTTTGTTGATCAGCTAAATAAAAAACGTTTCCCATTATTTCCTGCAGAAGCAACTCAGTTTTTCTGTTAGTGAGCATTTACATGCAATACCCGGTCCTTATCATTACAAGAGCGTCGGTTAGATAGAAGTTTCGATCAGGTGGTTCAGTGTCTGGGAGTCGAGCTCTCAATTGTCACTTTGGAAGGTATCGGTACTTTTTTATGGTGTCAAATTAAGCAAAACAAATATGGCCACGCCAGTCACCCGATTAAGTGTTCTTACTAAGGTTCGCAAGTGACGCTTTATATCATGTGCTTCAACACCACAAGAACGTATGTTCATACTGGAGATGGTTCAGTGTGTGGTGGAGATGTGGATGAACTTTAGACCAGGGACAGCCAAACGTGGAGGGAGAGAGCCGGCCAGTAGTGAGACGGTCGAGGCGATTAGTGGAAGTGTGACGGAAGTTAACGTTTACAAAATGCTCCTAAATTAATACATCCAGTTGTCAAGGATAAAAAAATACAGACGCCATCATGTGTGTGTTGGTGTTGAAAAATATAAGGTATGTCGCTGTGTATATTTCCCTTACAACTTATTTCTCTCCAATCTACGTCAATTCGATAGCCCATTAATTGTATAGAAATCTTGATGACTGGGACTTAATTATACTGAATGATCTTGACAGCTTCACTGGGGTAGAAATCCATTTCAACATGACTTGGTTGTAGGAGTTTAAAGTTAGGTACCAGAACAAGGCGACCACCCACGCTGATTAACCCGACCTTCTCCCCTAGACCATTATCCGGTTTAGCATTTATACGGAGTCCTTTAACACGGCTTTAGAGGATTATGAACATTAGATTAACACCTAATCGTGTCCATGATCAAACGTTATAGGTGGTTGTTCTCAGTCGGCGTAATAGAGATGTCTCAGCTGTGTACATTAGGCCTTCAGTCTTCATTGGTGTATTCGTAAGTGTTCTAAGTGGTCTATGATTGTCGGGAACAAAATGTAAACAGCACTTTTAGGCTAAAACGTATGTAACAATATAAGCAACTAACCACTCAGCGCAGCCAAACTCAGCTTGAAATTAGCCATCTCGTGAAGATTAGGCACCCAATTTGATTTTACTTGTTATACACAGAAGTGCCACTTTTGGTGGGGGTCAGTACTGGGCCCACTCTTGTTCATAATCTACAAAAACGATCTAGATACTGGGATCAGCAGTGACATAAGTAAGTTTGCAGATGACACCAAAATAGGGCGGCAGATTAATTCAGGGAAGGATACAAATGCACTACAGGAGGATTTAAATAAACTGCAGGAGTGGTCAGTAAAATGACAAATGAAATTCAACACCAGCAAGTGCAGCGTACTTAATATTGGAAGAACAAATACTGTCAATATATACAGCCTTAACAACAACAACCTAGAGAAGCCGATTTGTGAAAGAGACTTAGGGGTACTTGTAAGCATGAACCTACGGCCTAGAAAACAGTGCGTTAATGTTTGAAATAAGGCAAGCAGAGTATTAGGTTTTATATCTAGAAGTGTAATTAAAAGAGTGCAGAGGTCTTATTGCAACTATATCTCGCGCTAGTCAGGCCGCACCTCCATTATGCGGTTCAGTTCTAGTGCCCTTATTATAGAATGGATATCAATTCACTGAAGTCGGTGCAGCGAAGAATGGCGAAAATGATTCCGGCACTTAGAAACCTTCCATATCAAGATAGGTTAAATAAACTAAACTTGCATTACTTAGATTAGAAAGATGAAGAGTGCGGGGAGATAGGATAAAAGTATTTAAGTGGGTGAAAGGAATCAATAAAGAAGATATAGATAAAGTTCTTATAGTATCCAAGCAAGATAGGACTTGTAGCAACGGATTTAAGTTGGATAAGTTAAGGTTTAGGAGGGAGATAGGAAGGAACTGGTTCACAAATAGGGTGGTTGACGACAGTGCCGGATTAACCATGAGGCATTTGAGGCACTGGCCTCAGGCCCCCTGACTCTAAGGGGCCCCCAAATCCAAACATTCTTTAAGTTGAAGCATATGAAACATGAACTTCGTTCAACGATGTCCTAGCAACATCTCAATTTTCTGTCTCTTATGAACATTGAATGTGTTATTTTGCAGAAGCTTAATATTGATGAAATCATTGATAATTTTTGGTATATTTTGTTCTTGCTATTTATATATATATATATATATATATATATATATATATATATATATATATATATATATATATATATATATATATATATATATATATATATATATATATATATATATATATATATATATATATACAGTTGACTCTACTTACGACACGTGATTTAAGACCGTGACCGCAGATTTTTATTAAAAAAAAAATTTTTGTTTTTTGTTTTTTTTCAAATGACACGCATTTTCTATACCGAAACGTTTCCAGTTAATGTAGTGTCCATGTATAATTAGAAAATTATGGGGGCCCCATGTGCATTCAGCTGACTACAATTTCAATTTCAATTTCAATTGTTTATTCCTTGATAGAGGAAGCGGGATCCTAGTGCTGTCACTAGGTACCCCTGTACAATGACACCAGAATCATCTGGCAAGTGTGAAAAGTATATACAATATAAATATTATAAAGGGGCTTACTAAAGCCTAAGGAAGGAAGGATGTTCCTTTAACACATAATCAATATTATTTACAAAATATCTGGCCTACAGCTGACTACATTAAAGGTAAGTGCTCAGTCACACTGTATCCATTCCTTATTATTTATTACTTTCACTGTACTGTATCCATTCCTCATTATTCATTACTTTTACTGTACTGTATTTCATTGTAGATTTTTTATCTATGTCGGA